TCTGACAAATGGTGAAAAAGTTCAAGGGGTATAAATACTTTTTAAAGGAACAGTAGAGGTGTTTGTTTGCTAATCTTTGTCATGTTTATTTGCTGTAATCTTTACAATATTGAAACAAATGTATTTATTTTCTTCTATTAAAGCCTCTGATGATGTTGTCTTACATGTGGTGGGATAGGTGGTTGTGTTGGAGGATCCACAGTATGCTGCAAGAAAAAGAAAAAAAAAATGCACAAACTTTTTGCAGCAGTGTTTATAACAAGCTTTTATGAGCACTATCAACTAACAATTTATTAAGGTTACACTCACAGTAGTAGTCATGGCAGCAGTTTCCATTCCACTCACAGGAACTGTAGCAGGAGCAGCTTCCCATGTGCCATCCACAGTTGTACCGACAAGAAGGTTGAGCTGTTGAACAGGTAAAAGAGAAAGTAGGCAAGTAATCCACAAATGTTGTATCTGCAAGGCTCTTCCAACAGTCATCCACAACTTTGTCTTTTTCTATGCTATGCAATTGAAATAAAATACATCCAAGTTTGCAGTTGTAATGTGACAAAATGTAAAGAAAAGTTAAAGGGGTATAAATACTTTTCAAACGAAATATGTTTAGCTTGTTTTTGTCTTGTCCATTCATTGTAATCTTAAATAAATCTGTTAAATTTTGTTAAAGGCTCTGATGATGCTGTCTTACATGTGGTGGGATAGATGGTGGTATAGAGGTATCCACAGTATGCTGCAAGAGAAAGAAAAAAATTGCACAAACTTTTTGTAGCAGTGTTTATACTTTTATGAGCACTATCATCTGACAAAGTATTGAGGTTGCACTCACAGTAGTAGTCATCGCAGCAGTTTCCATTCCACTGACAGGAACTGGAGCAGGAGCAGCTTCCCATGTGCAGTCCACAGTTGTACCGACAAGAAGGTTGAGCTGTTGAACAGGTCAGAGAGGAAGTAAGCAAGTAATTCACAAATGTTGTATCTGCAAGTTTCTTCCAACCTTCGGTGGATGCGTTATCGTACAAAAATATTCACGTCTTCAACCTTTTACACAAATCGTTCAAGGGGTATAAATACTTTTAAAAAGAGCAGCAGATGCGTGCTTTGCTAATCTTTGCCATGTTCATTTGTTGTAATCTTTTAAAAAATTGAAACAAATGTATTAATTTTCTTCTGTTAAAGGCTCTAATGATGTAATTGAGCGATTATATAATGAGGTTGGCAGCAGTCTTACATGAAGTGGGCTCGGGATAGGTGGTTGTGGTGAGGTATCCACAGTATGCTGCAAGAGAAAGAAGAAATGCACAAACTTTTTGCAGCAGTGTTTATGACAAGCTTTTATGAGCACTATCATCTGACAAAGTATTGAGGTTGCACTCACAGTAGTAGTCATCGCAGCAGTTTCCATTCCACTGACAGGAATAGTCACAGGAGCAGCTTCCCAGGTCCCACCAACAGTTGTCTCGACAAGAAGGTTGATCTGAGAGAGAAATGTTCAAACTAAGGTTTGGATAAACTCCTCACTAATCAAAAAAGACAAAACTGTCACTTCATATCATAAACACTGTATGAAAGAGATAATCTATACAGAGATTGTTTTGTCTTTACATAAAAGGCTTTTAGAATTAACACAAAGTCACAAATTAGGATTATGGAGTAATCTGGTACAAGAACACCACACAGTGGGACGGCAGAAGCTGGAATCAGACAGACAATTTCTCATCCAACAACTGCCCATCCAGCTGTTACTTTAATAAAACACCAGTAGGACATTAAGTAACTTGTCAGACCTGTGGTGGTGAGTCCTGGATCAGTGGTGGTTTCTGGTTGTTCGGTTGTTGTTGAACAATAAGCTGAAACGAGATGTAAGGACGTCAGAAGTAAGGGTCACAGTTGTTCACTCCTGTTGTGCAGCATCTTTTTTATACATGTAGCCACAAAGCTGTCAGAACAGAGAGATGCAGAAACTGCTGCACGCTTATCTGTTGTCACACAAACAACAGAGAATCCTCTCAATTAATAAATCCTCTTAATGACAGCAATAAACATTTGTGCTGCATTCTGATGATTTAGAATTTAAAATGTGAATGCTACTTCAACCAAGAAGTATTTAAGAATATATTTTAATTACAACTAACTGCCTTGAATCATGTTAAAAATTGGGGGGAAAGCGAGCATATGTTTTCTACGCTCCTTCACCCTGACGTACCTTCCCGAAGGAAGGTATGTCAGGGTGTTTGCTCTACTTAAAATTTGTCACTTTGTAATCATGTTGTGAATCACATTTTTTTCACTTGAGCCTTTAAAATACAATCATTTGCTCATAAAATCATATTTTTGTCTGTTAGGTGAAACAAAGACATTTCTGCGAGGTTGAACACCCCACACAAGTGCATTTTGTTGCATTGCATCACTGCTTACTTGAGTAATCGTAGCAGCAACTCCCGTAGTATTCACAATCGTCAATGCAAGCACAGTACAAAGCATAGCCACCACATTTGTTTTTGCAGGAAGAATAATCTACAAGTGAACAGAAAACAATTATTGTTAAAATGGCAACATATGTCTTTATAAACAACTCCAAACGAATAACCTGATGGCCGGGTCTGATGTACCATGCAGGTGTACTTTGTTTGGATTTTCATTTGGATGGTTGAGGCTGTAAAAAGTGCCCCTGTTGTTGTGATAACAGTGGATTGACAGTGAAAATAAAAGGAATGAAACCACCAGTTCATGAACCTGCAGTATGAGAATATTTTCAAACTAAGTAATGTTCAGTCCTCTGCTGCTGGATAATCCATCTGGTCAGTTATCCAAGCTGGAAGATCTTAAGAAATGCTGCATTAGTTGAGGTAAAAGTAATCATCTGAAAATATGATGTTTGGATTGACATTAAATGGTGCTCAATTACCGTCTGTATTGTAATATGCTGGCGGAGTCGTCCAACCTGAAGGATTTTAAAACACATTGTGTTAGTCGAGGATGGGGTGATAATCTAAAATTTTAAATATTGTTTGGATTTACACTAGATAGTGCTTATAAACTGATGTTCTAAGAGTGAAAAAAACATAATAAAATAAGAAGTTTAACAGAATCGTACCTTGCACTCCTTGTGTGATGAGCACAACGCAAAGAAACACGAGAGCTCTCATGGTGAACCTGTTTCCCCAACTCTCAATCTGCTTCATCTCCTGATCTCTGCTGCTTTTATGCTCAACAACTGACTGATTACTGCACCCATAAAGCTTCTGATGTCCCCAAATGTTGGAGTAAAATATCACCCACTAACATATACGTATGAGAAGCACACAGTTGATTAAATATAATAAATGATGATGGTTCACCCGATGCTTCAGGACGTGTTTAGGATTTCACGTGGGGTCTGTAAACCTTAAAAACAGACCGATAATAAAGTAATACATTACTTTATTATCTGTTATTATGAGACATACAGTCTCATAATAACACATTTATTTTGTGTTTTAGATGAATGATGGATAGATTGGATAGATCCTAAAGCGCATGTAGTGTTTGAGATCAAAACTGAAAATGTACTAAGAGATATATCCAGTAAAGTTAACATCATCCAAATTATTAGCATAACTTAAAAGTTGGCAAGATTTGTAAAATAATTTTCTTTTATTGCATATTTTTAACGGTTTTTCACACTTTTGTCTTTACTTTAATTGGGATGTTATTTTAAATTCTCAAGAATCGCGTTTTTTTTTTTCCATTTCTACTCTTTAAAATCTAATAATTACACTTGTCAAGGTTCTACAAATTTCAGTGTAAAAACATAAATATAAATACGACCATTTCACAAACTCCTTAGGACGAGGAGGTTATCTGACTGTCTCTTAGAGACAATGTCATAAATAAGTTAAATTACAAATTAAAATGAAGACAGACTAGAATAATTCAGCAGTAATATCTCACCTAAGCACTTAATTCGTTAATAAAACTTCAACACCATGTTTTCAGCTTCAGAGGAAGTTAAAAAAAATCATGCTATTCTTCATTTTCCTTAATAAATTTCTTTTTGTGGTACCTGTACTCATTATAGCAGTCAGAATATTTACAGAAGATTAAAGAAGAGCTGTAAAACAGCAGACAGGATGAGGAAATAAAACTGTCCTTGTTGAATCAGGTGCAGGTTTTCCACCTAAACACCGGAGATGATGACTCTAATAGCGTAATACAGCTTAACATTGCATAACAAAGTACAAAGTGGAACACATGACTATTAGCTTTTTTCCCAGGACTGTTGTTTGTCTGCATCACCTTGGCACTCACTGAAATTTGGTTCCCTCAGGAGAGGGATTCTTGAGAATTTAAAAATTACAACATCCTAATTAAAGTAAAGACAAAAGTGTGAAAAACTGTTAAAAATATGCAATAAAAGGAAATTATTTTACAAATCTTGCCAACTTTTAAGTTATGCTAATAATTTGGATGTCCTCCCATGAGGGAACCAAATTTCAGTGAGTTTCTCTATAAAATAAAGGATCTGTTTTCTGAGGTGCAAACTTCTAATAAGTTCAGGGTAGATGCAGAGGTGTGAAAAAGTATTAACCAGAAAAGAAACACTGATTCATCAGAACCTCACTCATTACTTTTCATATTGGAAAAAACATGGTCACGTATAAAAAAATCTGGTTTGTTTTCACTTTTGGTCATTGTTTGGTCAACTCTTTGACGTTGGTGTGACTTGTAGACTCGTTGTTTGCTTGACCCCTATGCTGAGGAAAATTACCACAATCCTTCCGGACCTAAACATTCCCAATATTCTGCAATTTTTCAGCCAGACAATATTACAAAAAAATAAAAAAAAATACACACAAGTTCAGAGGTTCTTAAACTTCCTGATGTACTTCTATGGAAGTTAAGCTTTTCTTCTTTTTTTTCCCCTTTCTGTCAAAACAAACTTTAATCTATATCAGTTGTTCATCAGCACAAGGCGAACTGTGACTCATGACAGTAAAGCCCCTGACTCAGTTTATCTTTGGTTAATGTGTAACCACCGCTGCTGACCAGCTGGACTTAAATAAAGCAGCAGAGATCTGGGATCCTCATTCTGAACCTCACTCAGTCACTGCGGACACACAAGGTAAGAGTCAGTTTTGTCTTTTTGAGATTAACTAAAAACTGCATTAGAAAGCTGAAAAATTACAGAGAATCTTTGCATTTGCAAATGTCAGCTTGGTAACCGAGTTTCGTTTGATGGTTCAGTTCAAAACAAACACTGAGAACCACATTTTAAAGAGCTGCTAAAGTTGTGCAGTCTGTTTCCTGTTAAAAGAAAACTTCTGTCACCTTTGGGAGAGACGATAAAGATTATCTGTCATTATTTTTGACAGAAGTCGTTGCAGCTCAGGAGTTTTCTCAATAATAAACAAACATTTAGTCGCCAGTCGTATTGATCAGAAACCAAGGCCGTGGTCTGTGCTGCATAACAGACCATATGTTTGCTTAAATCCCACAAGAGTCCATCAGTCCACACATTCAAATTTGTTACTGGGCAGTTTGAACATTTACTAATTTACTAAAAACATTTGTGTCTTATTAACTTTGTCCCTTTAAGCTCGTGATTGAATTGTTGAATCTACTGTGGATTTCCCCCAATCCTCTCCTGTGTGTATTATCTCTGCCTGCGATCAGTGAGCCTCCTTTGCCAGCTGACCTCTCAGAGAACCAAAACCAGATGCAACCAGATTAGTGATGAAAGCTGTTTCCATGACCCTGTAACCGGGAGAGATAACCTCAAACCCCAATGTTCTGAGGGGCAGAGACGGTGGTTCATGAAATAAAACAGTGAGTTACTTTTATTACTGAATAATGCATCTGTGTTCACCCACAGAGAGAGAACCGTCTTAGCAACAGAAGACAAAATGCAGAAGCTACATCCACTTCTTCTAGCGGCCCTGGCGTGTTGCTGGATCTCCGGAAGCCAAGCCAACCGCGTCTACATTCACCCCTTCCACCTTTTTGCCGTCGACAATGTCAGCTGTGAGACTCTGCAAGGCTCCGCCGTGAAGCCTCTCGAAACCGTCGCCGTGGAGGCCCTCGATGTTGAGGTTTTGACCCCCGACAGCAGGGACTTGTCAAGCCTGGATGCACAGACGCAGAACATGACAAAGAGGATGGCAGTCCTGGCTGGCCTGCTGAACCCTCTGGGTCTGAGGATGTACCATGCCTTCAGCAGAAAGCAGAACAACACCGTCTTCTCTCCGGTCAACACTTATGGGTCACTTGTTGCCTTCTACCTCGGAGCTTCTAAGAAGACGGCACGCTCGTTTCAGGTGCATGCCTTCGATTTGCTTTTTATTGGTAGTTTTTGAGCTCTACTTTGATTTTATTTTTGGAAAGCACAACTTACTGACCTTGCCATCATAAATGTTCATCCTTTGCTCATTATCAATCTTTTGTTTTTGTTCTAGGAGTTTCTAGGCCTCAGTAGCGGCACCGACAGAGAGGACTGTGTGTCTTTAGTAGACGGACATAAGATCCTCAGTACACTGCAAGACATTAACTCTCTGGTGGACGATGGGTCTGGAGATGAAATCACCACTCGGGTCTGGGCCTTCGCACGGAGCGACGCTCAGCTATCGAGAGACTTTATTCAGGGAACACAAGACTTCTCCGACAAATCGTTTATCCGAGGCGTGGACTTCTCCAAGCACGAGGAGGCGGAAACACTGGTGAACAGCTTTGTGGAGAAAACGTCCGACGGGAAATTGACGAATGTCTTCAAAGGCCTGAACCCAAGCAGCAACTTTCTCTTCATCTCATCCTTCAGTTTCAAAGGCATGAGCTCTGCCTTTCCATTTCAATCACAGGAACAACTGGAGGATAAAACCTGACTTTTGCTCTCTGCTTGTGTCTGTTTAGGCAACTGGATGGCAGCTTTCCAACCCGATAAGATCTCCATGGAAGAGTTTCATGTGGACGAAACGACAAAAGTAACGACTTCAACCATGACGCGCACTTATAACTACCACTACCTGAATGACAAGGTACAGCTTTCTCCTATTCTATTTTCTTTTGTTCCTTACATTCATGGCCCAACAGTTCATCAGATTGAGAAGAGATTTTGACTCCTCCGCTGTGTGTTTTATTGAAGGTGAATAGGTGCACTGTTGTGAAGCTGCCTCTCAGTAAACAGAGCCACATGTTGCTCATGCTACCTCACGAAGGAACAACGCTCGGTCACGTAGAGAACAAACTGCTCGCCAGCTTCATGGGCGGCTGGCACAAGAACCTCCGGGAAGGGTGAGACGAGGTTTTTGTAAAGAGAGTTATTAATTAATCCCTTCAGAGTCAAGCGGACGGACTGAAAATATTTTTGTCGCACGCATCAGCAGTTCAAGACAGTTGGAATATAAATGTAAACAAATATTGTATTTTAACCAGTTTTTTTTTTTTTTTTCCATTTCCAATAACAAAGTAATGACAATATGTAATGGTGCAGTTTGTCGTAAACATGCAGAGCTTACTAAAACTCCTTATTAACACAACTGAGAGTTTGTATCCAGTTCAACCAGAGATCAGCTGTACTGTTCAGCCAGAGGCTGTGAAGATATTTGTCTCGGGTTCACGCGAATTGAGTGTATTCTAGCTAAAAATTGGAAAATCAAGTGAATTTGCTAGTTGTTGTGGTGTTTTAACACAAATGCAAAATAGCAATATTTGTTTCTCTTTCATGCATTCGAGCACCAAAGGAAAATGTTCAGAAACAGAGGTTGCACAACATTGTCTGCCGCTGGTTTAAGAAAAAAACAAACTGCCACAAGCGCTCATGAATAGTTTTGCAAAGTTTCATGCATGGAGGTCACATCACATATCAAACCGAACGCTGCTTGTCAACATCTGACGCCCTCGGGTGAAATTTCGATTTCAGGCGACTTTCTTGTTGCATTAGGAAAAACAAAAATCTTCAAACTTCTGAGTACAGAAGTTAGAGGATTTGTAGCAAGTCTAAAATAAGTGGGACTTTCTGGTATAGGAGGACTGGTGGCTCAGGCTGCAGGAGCTTGTCGTGTGACCAATGATAACTCACTATAGGCACTACACATGTTGTGGCTAGCTACTATGTAGAAAGATAATTATTTCTTCCTATTTTATGCATTTAAACACTACGAATATAAGCTGAGGTTGTTCAGTTTCTTTGTTTAATGACAAACCAACCATCACAAACACAACTAAATAGTTTCTAACATTAAAAGTAACTTTTTTGTATGAGTAACAGCCACATTGGAAACTGAACTTGGGCATTCAAGTTCAGAAAATATTTCATTATAACATTTTTACTGCCATCATACAGTTTTACTAGCCTCAGTTGTCTGGACGACAGAGAAAGAATGAGACGATTCCCATTTTGGTAATAGAAATTTCAATTTTTTCCTTTTTTTGGTTCTCAGTTTGTTGGAGCTGTCCCTCCCTAAGTTCTCCCTGTCCTCTGTGATTGACATCCATGACCTGCTGTCCACCATGAACACCTCTCTGGGGTCCACGCTCTTGGGCTCCCAGGCCGAGTTCAGCCGCCTCAGCAACACCAGCCCTTTCTCCGTAGACAAGGTAAACCAGATGAACTGATCTTGTGGTCATGTAAAAAAAATAAAAATAAAAAAAATAAAACGCTCACAGTTTGTGTCATTAATAGCTCTGTGTTTTTGTTTTTTTTCTGTCAGGCCATGAACAACGTGATGTTTGAGATGTCAGGAGAAGCTGCAGAACCTCAGGCCGGGCCTACAGAAGCAGGCGTCGCTCTGAAGCTGTCCATCAACAGACCGTTCTTTTTCTCCGTTATAGAGGAGCATTACGAATCGATCCTGCTGCTGGGAAAGATCACCAACCCTACCCTCTAAAGATGTTTGATACTGAACAGAAGATGACCGGACCGTCAAAGTGCTGCTGTGTCTGAAAGAAATTACCAGACAGCATAGACGAGAGATGAAGCTACGGCTTTGTCTCTTTCAGCATTAAAACAGTGTTATGGTTACTCAAGGTCAGCACACAGAAAGTTACTGGAATCACTGGAGGTCTCGTTGTAGTATTTATGGATAGACTTCTTTACCGACAACTAGTTTAAAACTTCCCATCCTTTTTTTTTTTGTAATATTTTCATGATGTTCTCCACAAAACATTTCAGTAGGCTTGGTAAAGTAGTCTATTTGAAATTAATAACTTCTTATAATATTGTAATTAAGAGTTTATTTTTGTTTGCCTGTGATTGTATAAATAAAACATTCCAGAAGAATGGGTTATGTGTGGATGCTGCTCGTCTCAACTTCCTACCGAAGGACCCAAGTTAAATTTTATTTTAATCAACAATGCAGTGATAAAGGAGCAAGCAAAACAAAAGCAGAGCTTAAAAACGAGACACCAAACAGTCAGGTATGATGTTAGGTATTTTCCACTCCTACCATTTAAATGCAAATGATTTGATCAGCTGAGACAAAATTGAGCTTTTCTGTAAAATACTCTGTGAGGGTCTGGTGTAAAAATGCTGCATTCCCACTGTTAAGCATTGTAGAGGATGTATGGTGCTGTGGGCTTGATTCTCTTTCAGTTACAATGGAGGCTTCGGTCGGGTGCATCGCCTCATGAACACCTTAAAATTTAGATTTTTTTTTTTTTTTTAAATGAATATCTTGTGGTTCCTGCCAGAAAACTGAAAACAACTGGATCAGGAATTATGATCCAAAGAGTGACCAAATTACCAGAAAAACTGTTAATGAATCTTTAAAAAAATCTAAATATTTTCCTGACAATTTCGGTAAAAGGGCTGAAAAAACGTTAGAATGGTTCTGTAAATTAACCTAATCTTATCGCTTTATTAAATGAGACAAAACAATTTTTCCCAGAGTTACCCTTTTTAATAGATCTTTAGAAATAATAAAAAAAAACACACAAAGGAAATAAACAACCTGTTCAGGATCACTTGTAGCTACCAAATCATCTGTAAATAAAGACACAGATGATATAAAGCCTTTTTTCTTTATTCCCAAGTTATTAAGTTGGATTCTGAAACCTTAGTTTGAACATATTCCACATTAACACCATTTTTTATCTGTGAGGCATTTAAAAAATTAAATAAACATGCTGTTACTGAGTTTACCCTTTGAAAATAAAATCTGGATCTATTAGAAACATTCAAACCCCAAGAGGTGAACAACAAAGCAGTTTTTACAGCGAGGATACGCTACACAGTAGCATATGATCCCATAGTAACACATGGAGCCAGGTCGTTTGTTGCACCGCGACGGCTCAGTGATTCGGAAGATGATTTCATAGTCAGTTCTCTCTTTCGTACTCGTGTCATCGCGGACGAAACTTTCATTTCTTAGAAAGATCTGAAGGTGTGCAGAGAAATCCCCGTTGGCTTCGGAGCGGACGGTCTACTGGTTCTGTTCGGCGAGGTCCCGGGCTTCTTTCACGAGCTCCATCAGGGTGGAGAACATGGAGATGTCACTGGGCCGGAGGCCCATTTTCTGAATCTGAGACAAAAGCAAACAGAGAAATGACACGTAAAACTAAAACGCCTGCTACTTCACTAGGCGCTTTGAGCTCTGATCGTGTGTGTTTGTGTATTAAAGCGACACGTACCTGTTCGCCCAGATATTCCACATCCAACGCCAGCTGAAGACGGATCTTGCTGTCGTCCGTCGGCCCACCGTTGGTTCCTGTTGCGACAGCGGCGCTTGCACCTTTTCTGGCTTGCTTTAAACGCTTCAGACTGTCTTCCATCTTTTTCACCGAGCTCAGCACTTCTGAGATGGTCTCGTAGTACCTGAAAAAAGAGAAGAAGAGTTTTTTGTTTTTTTTTAAAGACCAAATTCATTGCACAGGATCTTCTTTCAAGTAGCATCACAACCTCTTTGGGTTATTTTAGTTTCACAAATGTATATTTGAGACTTACTTCTGTGTGCAGTCAGACAGTGTAACCCGGAGCCATTCCTGTGCCGTTTGGGGATTGACCAGCCCTGTGGAGTCTGCTAGCAGCTGGTGTAATGGCTGTAAAGCGTTGTCCATGTATGCCGATGCTCGAACTGGTAGGTCCTTCACACGGAAAGAGTCGTTGGGAACAAAAAAAGCAAAATATTCGAAGAGATTACAAGTGTGAGCTGATAATATGTGGGGCAGGGGGAAAGATCCACCTACTTTATTGGTCCTGCGGTAGAGTCGCGGGACCTCAGAGGCGCTCTTCAGGAAGCGGCAGGAGCGTTCGGTCAGATGCTGCGTCATCCTGGTGTTCAGAGACGGGATGCTGCTGGACAGGCGAACCCTGGAGTCTGCGAGGGCATCTGTCAGACAGAACGCTTGTGAGAGTCCAGGAAGCGGCAGTGAAAGAATTTATAGAGAACGAACGTCATCATCGACTCCTGCATGTTTTATTTATTTATTTATAGTTTCCGCGTTTTTGTAACTAATTTTCCAGTTTTGAAAGGGAGCATTTTTAACATTTCTTGGGAAATGTGCTGTTTTTCTCTGACTGTGTGCTATTTAAGATGTGACCCATGCATTTCTTTTTCCCCACATGCAGTGAGTCATTTCATATAAGCGTTGACAAGTAATCTTTCTTAGTTTTTGCTCATGTATCTTATAAATAGATTAAAGATTTATTTGACTGGTATCATAATTGGCCTCGTTTCATAAAAGAATCAACTGGAAAGAGCGCAACTTAAAATGTCCACAAAAACAAGAAACAAAACATGTGAGATTTGATGTTTAATTACATTCCAGGAGTGTAAACATCCTAAGTTTTTCATAACTGCTCAATGTTAAAGAAATATAAAAAGAACAGTGAAAAAATATTCTGATTGTTTTTTTACCTTTCCGTCGTAATCTGACAAGAAAATAAATAAATAAAAAAAAAAACCTGCTGCCAGTGTGCTTACCTTCTACAACTGCAAAGTTTTTGATCCCGATAGCATCTAATCGCTGTCTGACCATCTCTGAGAACTCTGGGATCTAAACGAAAGAAGACAGAAAACAAAAAAAAAAACTATACTGAAGTTTGGGGTTGTAATCTTACAAAACAGACTGGAATACCAACAAAGGGAAAGCAAACACCACAACCAGATGATGTGTAATGGAGGCAACATCTCAGTGCTTCTTCTGTGTGGTTCTGTCTTCAGACCGGGTGCACACACACCTTCTCCTGCAGCTTCTGAACGTCAGCTGCGATGAAAACCAGCTGTTTGGTGGACAGAGCTGCCGGGCCGCCGCCCTCGCTGCCGCCTTCGTCCAGGGACGTTCGGCTGGACGTGGAAGAGGCCGAGCTCGGCAGGGGTCTGGTCGGCTCCTTCGGCGTCTCGATGGCCGGGGTTTTAGTCAGCGCCTGCGTGGATTGGCTCGGTTAGGTAAAGCCTGGACAGGGTTGCTCTTCTCGCTCCTCTTTCATTTCCGCATTTGGCTTTTACCTCATCCAGAAACTTGGCATATCGCGAGTACAGCTGCAGAGTCAGCTTCCAGAAGCGATGAGCCAAAGGCGACAGGTAGACCTTGTCCGACCAGCACCTCACCAAGCAGGACCACAACACCTCAGACACCTGCAGGTGGAACGAGCTGCCAGCTGGAAAGGAGCAGAAACATAGGGGCGTTGTGGGGAAACGTGTGCGGCAAATACCGACGTTTGGGAATAAACTCCCCACCTGGCGCTGCTTCTAATCCGTCTCCTATGGTGTTCTCCAGGCGCCCGGCAATCTCTTTGTACCTGAAAAATGGAGGAAAATATTCAAAACGGAAGGACAAAATGTTATGAGCTCAACGTTTGCGCCAGCACGGCTTCGAAAACGCTCAACACCACGTGCGTGGAAATTTTTTGACTTCCCGGAAAAGCTTAGCCGCGGAGGGTTTGGGTTGTGAAATGTGGACAGGCGGCCTGATCTTTGCTCTGACGTGCAGAGATGGACCTGCACATTGTGTGTTTTATTGTGTGTTTCTGTGTGGGGGAGAAAGAGTGGGCGGCGGGAGGACTTCTGTACTTTTTCCCCAACCTCACCAGCAGCCAGGATCTACCGTCATAGCGGTGAGCAACGTTCAGTAATGTGCTGACACACATTCTCAATTGACATTTTGTTATGAGTCACTCGTCTCTTTGAGACCATCGGCCAGAAGTCGTTTCCCAGATTCTGGTAAAAGCGGGTTTTGTTCGTGTGGTGAGCGCCTGCCAAGTTGTCTTTATCGACAGAGAACGCTGACAGGCCGTTATTTTAATCTCAGTCTGTCTCTCTGGGCCCGAAAAAGCAAAAAGACGTCAATTTAACAAATTACACACTTAGCAGAATTTTCACTTGGACCTAAACTCTGACTTTCACATGCACTCCTCTCTGCAAAAATGCATTCCCCTCAAAAATGATCATCGGTTTAGTAAGAATTGAAAAGAAATCCCTGAAATCAATAATTTCAGTTTTAAAAAATGTAATCTAATAAGCAATGAGTCCATCTTCTTAGTTTTTGGGGTCGATACAACAAAGTAAAACGAACAAACTTTCCAGGTTTCATGTCACTTTTCCACATTCGATCGCGTTACAACCACAAATTACAAACAACTTTTTAAAAAGTGTGGTGTGCCCCCTTTACTTTGGCTGCACTTAAAACAAAAGCTAATCCAAAACATACTGACATCGACTGACATGAAATCCTTATATTGTGAAAACCATGCGGTTGATGTTTATTTTTACATGCACAGCACATTTGGAGAAAACTAAAAGTGCAGAGACACTTTCACTGAATTTCTTGTCAAAATCAGAGGAAACCAGGATTTTCCATCGTTCTTGTGATCAAGGATTTGGGAGCCTGAAAAGCAACTTAGAGATGTTTGTTCTCAGTGTAACTGGAGGAGGCGGACTGAAGCTTATTCATTGATCTGATTCACTCAATGGGTTAAATAATACAAGATCAAGTTACCTCCGTACACATCTTCAAGATATTACATTTTAGGTGACGATTTATTTGTGTTTTAAGGAGATGAAAAAGTGCTACAGCAAGACATTTCTCCTTTCATGATGCAGCATTTCCACAGAAAGCCTTAAAATGTTTGCTTCGTTACCGTCTGACATTCACC